TTATATAGGAAACAAACTAGACAAAATGTGAGAAAACACTTGTTAAACAACGAAGAACCCTATAGCATAGTTGTCTTGGTTTTGTGAGCAGTGTTACAAAAGGCTTATTTATTATGTTGATAATCATTTTCCAGTAACAGGGAAAGCATTAGAGCACAGTCAAGGCAAAATATTTATGAAACATTCAGGTAGAGAAATATTAAAGCTTGAACTCTTCTAAAGTCAAAGGTGATTTACTGTGGTTTGGGGAATAAAAGAAACCTTTGAAGAAATTGCTATAGAGTTATTTTTTTAATTGAGTTGCTGTAATAAAAGAAAATGTAATAGTGCATTATGTTTCCTCAGAACTCTTTGTTCCAGAATCACCAAGATACTTACCGGAATTACTGAACACTCCTCACTCTACTGATAACTAGCGTTTATTGAATGATCTCAATGTGCCAGATTTTGTATTTTTATTATCTCATTTGAGTGCTTTACATTTATCTTCCCATTAAATTCTCGCAACAACTTTAGAGGTAAATCTATTATTTCCCCCATTTTACAGAGGAAGACATTAAGGAACAGAGAAGCAGAATAAATCGCCCTAAGAGTTTTCATTTTTGGTCTGGAAAGGTGTAGTTTAGCACACTTCTGTGGGTAGCTTGAACTATCTGATTATCTTACTAGAAAAAGAGACTCTGCAGCATTTTTGGTTGCCAGTTCTAAGCTTCAGCTATCCCCATTTATCAGTAAGTCAGTTCCCTACCCCCTCCATGTAATTTTCCTCATTTCTAAACACTGAACCTTGATAGTGTGATTCATCTTGTCTGTGCTCAGTAAATACTAGAGGCAAATCACCCACCTGAAAAGAAATCCTTCCTAATATAAATTTCCTGTGTTGTGGTTAAAGAAAATGAAACAAATTAGAATTACTCACTTGTATGTTAAAATGTATCCAAACTACAGTTAATGTTTGGTGAATCATTTATCACCCTCATTGGGAGGTCCCAAGTACAGACCCCAGAGAAATGACCAGTTGATAACAAACTCAGGGCAAATTGAGAGCCAGGTTGAACACAGCTGTCTACTTTTTAAAAAGACTCTTTACTACTATTCCAAATATCAAGGGAACTATTACAATCTTCTTTTTTTTTTTGAGATAAAATTCACAAAACATAAAATTAACCATCTTAACATGTTCAACTAACTGGCACTTGGTACATTCACAATGCTGTGCAGTCACCTCTATTTAGTTCTGAATCGTATTCTTTACCTCAAAAGAAAACCTTGAACGTATTAAGCAATTTCTCCCCATTCCTGGCAACTACTAATCTGCTTTATGTTTCTGTGATACTCTTTATATTTCATTAAAGGGATCAAGGCAATGGGTGTTTTTTTGCACCTGGTTTCGTTCATTTAACTTGTTTTTGAGGTGCATCCATGAGTATACATGAAATGTTTTCTTAGAAAAAATCATTTTAAGACAAATTAGAAAGTCTTAGCAGTCAGTGTAGCACTGTAGGATAAAGCGTTGGACTGCAATATCAGTTTGGACCACAAGTTCAGTGGTTCAAACACAGCAGTAGCCGCTCCTCAGAAATCCTATACAGGATCGCTATGAGTCAGGACTGACTTGATGGCACTTAGCAACATCAGTCAGTAGATTATATATGCCTGACTGAGGGTGTAGAAGTGACAATAGCAAGGCCTGGTAGATAGAAAAAAAAAAAAAACCCATAGAAAACAGAAGCAGCGGGGTGTGTAAGAAATCCAATATAGGTAGGTAAGTGAAGAGAGACTCCTGTTTCTGGGATAACTATGGACAGTGAGTGGTGTCCTGAATCTGAAGATTAAGAGACATTTCTAAGCTTGAGATATTGGTGAAGCCATTGGAATGAATGAAATCAACCAAAAGTGAAAAAGTAGAGAAAAAGTTGAAAATGCAAATGTCTTTAGCAACATGACAGATAATATGAATGAGAACAGTAGCAAATTCATGTCCTGTCTAAAGTCCAGCTATTCAAAGTTTGGCCTACAGAGCAGCAACACTAACATCATCTGAAATGCAGAATCTCAGGCCTACCCCCAGTGCTACAGAATGCCATTATTCATTTTAACATGAACCTAGTTGATTCGCATGCACACTAAACTTTGGGTAGCACAAGTCTACAGATACAATGCTTATTTTACTCTAGAAAATTGTTTCCATCTGGGAATAAGGGAATTGTATTGTCAGGTCTTTTGATTTCCTAGAAATCAATTTCTCAGTTTTAGAAGTTATCAGCTATGTATCAGGGTCCCAGAAGAAACAAAGGGATCCCAGACCATTCAACTGAAGAGATTTGAGTGGAGGGTGTTCTTTCAGAGGCTGGTTAGAATGAAGAGAAAAATAAGGGATGATAAGTCTTTGAATAGCTAGCACTATTAAATCTGCTTGCATAAAAGAAAAGGGAAGGAAATAGTGTTCCCAGAGCCCAATAGGCACTAGAGTGCTAGAGGAACCTGCTGACAGAAACAAGGCTATTTATTGTAGCGAGACACTGAACTCAGTGAGGGAGGAAACAGGCAAGAGAGACCCTGCTTCCTCTCTCTTGATACCTTCTGTTTGGCCAAACCCACCTGGAAACCAGCTTCTGTTATGAACAAATAAACAACCTGGGGCCAATACACAGAATATCTTTGGCTCATGTGACAGCACCGGAGCAGGCCACATACATATAGAGAAAGAAGAAATGCTGTGCACGCCAAACAAATGAAGCAAACACAAGTTTTGGGTTAGATAAAGAATAAAGAAAGAGGACAGTCAAGAATGATGTTCTGGGGAATGCCACTTGGACCACCCCATGCAGATGCCATGCACCGTCTTTTTAAGTGGTGCCATTTTGGGTTAGAAGAAAGAATGCTCAGACTAAGAAGCAGCCCAATAAAGCATCTAACTACCTCCATATGTAGGCACTGCCATTCTTTATTTACCTTTTTAAAATTCTCTTCCTGTTTCTTCCACTTTTATATTGTATTCTATATTTCCAGATTTGTGTTTTTCATCTTGAGTTGAACTATCTTTAATGAAGATTTCAATTCCTTTCATGGAAATAATCCAATCAAATTCAATTAATCCACTCAAAGAGTGGATATCTTCCCTCCTTGTAGATCATATTCCCAGTAGATACTGGTCAGCCACAGGAACAAAGGCTCAAAAGGTGCCCTGCACACCTCAGGCCCTGCACAATGTTTAACACAACTAATTTTAATTTCCACAGATGGTAATCTTCCATTGATCAGATGTTTACATAGTCAAACGTTGTCTGATTTATGGTAAAGTTACTTCATCAGTGTTTTATATTGCTGCTATCTAGCCAAAGTGTGTCCAAAAGCATGACAAATTTAAAACATCAGGAAATCTGTCTCAGCAAATGAAATAAATATTTGCAGAAAACATAAACTCAGATGTGTTTGTTCTAGAATAGTAACCATGATATAATCTCCATTTGTTGATTCTCCCTTCCCCCAGTAGACTTTTGTGCTTTTTTTTTTTTGGTTCTTTGATACCAGTGTAAGTCAAAGAGTACTGCTGCAAAATCACAGAAATCTTTATTAAACAAAAATATCAAAATGGGAAGCTATCATTTCTCAACATAATCTCCATTAAGGTCTGTATGCTTCTAAAGGCGGTACGTCCATCTCTCAAACCTTCCTTGAAGAATTCTGAGTTCTTTGATTCACATATCAAAAGAACAGTTTTAGTATTCTTGAAAGGCTCAAATCATATTTCTTATTACTATTCTTTGAGTTTGGGGAAGAAAGAAGTCAGACGAGGCAAGATAATGACTCTAGGTGGGATGGATCAAGGTTTCATAGGACAGCCCTTGCTACCCTTGAAAAATAGGTAGGTGCATTGGTGTAACTTTCCTGACCTTTTTCTCACCAATGCAGTTGTTGACTTACTTAAAACTTCTTCTTAACAACCCCCCACTAATTCTCCTGTGTCCTTCAAGATTACCCTTTTGGAGTCCCCCCAAAATTGTCACCACAACCTTTTGAACTGACCAGTCTGCCTTGATTTGACCTCATATTCATGAGAAAGGTGGACAGTGAATAAGGAAGACCATAGAAGAATTGATGCTTTTGAGTTGT